ACGTTCCGGTCGTATAAATTTTTTCCTCCTTCACAAAGAAGGACAAAAACAATAAAAAATGAATTTTGAAACGACCAAAGCACAGCTCGCTTGTTGGCTCCGAAATAAATTACAGTATAGTATGAAAAAGTAAAGTACATTTGAGGAGCCATTCATTTCTTCGTCAGTGGCAAGAGCACAAGTCCGTTTCGCAGATCCATCCAAGAGTATCCAAGGGTAGACAACACTTGCATACACCGATGAAAATTTAGGATACCAAAAATGCAGTTTTATTTCGTTTAAGTTTGCCTAACTAACGCTAATACTTGATCTAAATGTTTTGTCAAATATGTAACCCTTTTAAAGCGATTGGTTTGGTGTTCTGAAAGATTTAAAATATTTTGGTTTTCCAAATAAAATTTTCATTTTGATATGTTGGTACCATTCGAATTGTTCTAGCGGGGTCCTGTTAGGCGTCTGCTAGCATTTTAAAAGTATTGTGGCAGTTTGAAGGGAAATTAGAAAAAGTGATGATTTAATTAATAATAACAAGGATAATATGAATAAGAAATAAGAATAATGTACAACTTACGGCGTATCATTAAACAACCTACATACAAGTAATCGTGTTTAGGTTAGGTAGGAGACTGTAAAATAGAAACAATTGCAAAATTTGTTCTATCATTACTGAGAAGTTTGTCAAAATGGCAATTCATTAAATACACATCAGTTTGTTAGGAATTAGTAGAAATTCATGTTGCGTTTCATTTTGAACTTCTTCAGTTATCAATCAAAATGACAGGTGGAAAACGATAATTTGCGAGATGAAGGCATTGTGACAGATTGAATTGTTAGTGACATTTCATTTTGAGTTAGGTCGCGTTTCAGTTGATCGAGGTTTTAACAAGATTCAAATTTGGGCCCTTTAATTCATTCGGTATAAATTGCCCTTATATGCAGTGACAAGCTGACATTCAACGCGGTTTGTCGTCATGTTATAGGTTTTGTTTTTTTGATTTACGTTGATCAACGACATCTAGCATTGAGTAATCCAATTTAAGTTTGTGTTTCATTCTGAATTTTAATTTGCATCAATGAATTCACCCTTCTATGAATTATGAAAATTATAATGAATTTCAATAGCCTTATTTTTGTGAAGGAACTTCAGGAACCAGAACATATGATCAGTGAATTCACCCTTCTATCAATATGACATGAACAGACAGAAATTAAATAAATTGAATCCTTATAATAATGGTTTTACTTAGTTTACATCAATGAATTCACCCTTTTATAAATTGTGAACAAACACAAACTAGAAAGAATTAGAAGTAGTTCGTACTTCTCACAATCAACTAAAGTCAAATTGAAGCTCTATAATCAGACTGAAGTAAATTTTTTGCATCATGGAATAGAATTTTAATTTACATCAGTGAATTCACTCTTCTATCAACAATCATGAATGAACATAAATTAAATTGAAACCGTCAATTCAATTCAGAATTTGGTAAAAGTTGAGTATTATTGTTTCAAGATTGAAAGAATTTGTATAAATTTCAAAACACCCGTAGCCTTCATACACAGCATTCTAAACATTTTATTACCAGTAGTAAAATCGGCACAACTAAACTTCGAATATACGCGGGTCTGTCCAGGAGACCG